GTGCGCGCGAGGGGTTCTGCTGGCTGCTGCAGCACACTCGTGAGTACTCGCACGTTAAGTATGTTTGCTGCATGCATACTTGTGGCTTTTATTAAGCAGGGATAAAAACAATATAGAAATACAAAAATGTATTTTGAAAACAGGTATCTGAGAGCGTTTTTAATTTTAATTTTTTTTTTTTTTTAGAGATTTTTGCTTTAGGGTATGTGTGCTCACTTACTGGAGAGACAGAGTCAGAGAGACAGAAAGTGAGAAATCCCCCCCCCCGGGGTGGGATGGTGACACTGCAATCCCTTCTCCTCCATTTTTCTCTTGGGATCTTGGGCACACACACTTGTGCCTGGCGTGAGTTTTAAGCTGCTGGGTCTGGGACTTGTACCACAGTCAACTACATGCGAGTCCAGCAGTGTAACCAGTGGTTGCATACCTGCTGGTCCTGCATTTTTTATTTTTTAAGTGGCTTGTTCAGCCCTGAGTTGAGGGACAGGGACAGCAGCATCTGCAGGAGCGAGGGGGGTGGTGGACCTCACTTCCCGTTGACACTGAGTGTGGCCCTCAGCCCTGGGCTGGATCCTGGGCGGGCAGCATGACCTGCTCCTCCCTGTCCCAGAGACCCTGGGAGGAGTGACGAGGGAGATCTTGCTTTTCACGTTTGCAGGAAACACATCGCACCACCCAAGGACAGCAGCACTGTTGGTGCCGTTACTGCGTTACCTAATTTAGGGGCACCCGTAGTCGGCCCCACATTCAGCCTGGTTTGTTTGGTGGTCCCACGAGTCCCAGCCCCAGTCCTTGAGAAGGCAGGACTGTGGTGCCGGCGGCTGCCCCCCTTCAACACGCCACCCGTAGGCCATCCTCTTTTCCTCTGTGGGAAGGCTCCTTCCTAGTAATTACATTCTTGGCTGACATGAGCAGGTTGGAGGACTTTAAAACAAACCAGAAAAGAAAGCAAAACAAAATGCCAGTAAACTCTATTTTTAGCAGCTGCAACCAGATCTGTGCTTTTGGCCCTGGTGGTGGGAAGGAGCCCCGGAACTCAGGACCTGCCACTTTGTGTTCTCGGGGCCAGCGCGTCCTATTTCTAGATGTCTACAGCTGGTCATTCATGCCTGCCTGGAAGGCCTTTTAGAGTGGAATGCAGTCATCTTTAGAGAAGAACTTGGAGGTAGTAAAATCAGGCCAGGGTGACCTGAAATAGTGCCTGAAGATGAGCGTAGTGGAAGACTCAGCTGCAGCCCACGTCCCGCGTGGGGAGAAGTCTCTGAACGCAGCGGGCGTCGCCTTTACTCACATCAGCAGAGGCCCTGACCCCCGTTAGGGCGGCATGACGGAGAGACGGTCGGACAGCAGCACAAGGCTCTTAGTCTCTGTGCCTGGCATCTGATCTTTCAGTCATGAAGGACGGTTTCCACAACTCCAGGTCTTCAGGGCCCTTTCCGTGGGCTAGCAGAGGGCATGGGGTGAAGGCCGCTGGGTCCCACATGGCTGACCCTGCGGTTCAAGTTCCCGGACCCCACAGCTTAAAGAACACGCTGCATGCGTGTGCGTGCTTGCATGCCCCACATCCCGAGGGAATGGAGGAGAAGGGAGGGCATCGTGGCATGGCCATCCCTTTGGGGGTGATTTCTCTCTTTCTCTCTCTTTATGGTGAGTGCACCTGTCCTATGGCAAACTAAAAAAAAAAGAAAAAAGAAAAAAAAAAAACCCTTTTTCCTTAATATATAATTGTAAGAAGAGGCATATGTTAAGGATCTTTTGGGGCCGGCAGGTGGCATGGTGGTTAAGGTGCTAGACTCCCACCTGGCTGACCATGGTTCAAGTCTTGGACCTGGTAGCTTGCTTTCTCACTTTCCCTTTCTTTCTCTCTGGTCAAATTTTAAAATGATAATAAAAAATAAAATTAAATAATTTTAAAAAGATCTTTTAGTTTTTCAGACCCAGAGTTTTTCCTGTCATGTCAGAAACCTCTTTGTTCTATTTTTTGTTTTGTTTGCTAGAATTTGGTTCACTTTTAAATTCTGACAGGGGCTTGTCCTAGGACACACTCTGCTTTGGTAGTATTTCTGCACTGAAAACCTATACCCTGCCTCCCTCCCATGCTGCCCACACGGATCGCTTTGCCAGTATCGCCGAGGGGAGTCGCACCCGGGGACAGGCAGACAGGCCGTAGGGAGGCAGCCCTCAAGGAGTTGAGCCCGTAAGCCTTAAGGAGCTCGAAGCTCTTCTGGGTGAAAACAGCCAAGTCTCCTCTCCTGCACCAACTCCGTGTAGGAGTAGCCGTGTTCTTCGGTGAGAGACAACACTGGGAATGCATGTGGGGAAGGCCCACCTCCCACGGGCAGCCGCCACTGCGCCCGGCTCACTGAGTCTACCTAACACCCTTCCTGGTGAGGACCTGAGGCCCTGGCCTTCTCTGCTGACAACCTGGGTGACAGAGTGTCCGCTTCCATTTAGCATTGCCGAGACGCTGCCTTTGATTAAATTTGTCTCTTCCAGATCTGTGCATGAGTGTTAAAGCCATTCATACAGGTCAAAGGGCTGCTGCCTAGGAAAGGTGGAGCCTAGGAAAGGTGGAGGTGATTGAAATAGTATCAACAAGCCCAAGGGGAGATTTAAACCTTCACTGTAGGGGGAGGGCAGATTGGGACAATTTTTCCAGGGACAATTTTTAAATATGTGTCCGTATTTAAAATATTTCTCCCTTTCGGTCTGGCTGTTCCACTATATATAGGGACATAGAAGATAGGTGGGGAAAGATACTTGAAGAAATTTAATGATTATAATAGCCAAAAAAAAAAAAAAAAAAAAAAACATTTTCCAACAGAGGATTAAATTACAGCATTTCATACAAGAGGAAATTATGACTATTAAAAGGACATCTCGGGACCAGCAGTTAGCGTAATGGCTATGTCGCTGGACTCCCACGTAGTCGACCGCGGTTCACGTCCCGGACCCGGTGGCTTAAACTCACGCCGGTGTGTGTGTGTGTGTGTGCCTAAGATCCCGAGAGGAGAATGGAGGAGAAGGGATTGTGGCGTAGCCATTCCCTCCCAGGGGTGATTTCTCGCTTTCTATCTCTCTGTCTCTCTGTGTCTTTCTGGCGAGCGCATATGCCCTATAGCAAAAACCTCTCCAAAAATAAAAAAAAAAAAGGATTTCCCACGCTCTATTTGTATGGCCATTGAGAAATGTTTATTGTACTACCATGTGAATAAGATCACAGAACACCGTGATGCATATAACATTATTTCATTTTCGTTTCTTAAGTATACCTTTTTAGATGTGTGTTTTGAAGCCAGGTTATACTTAGACTAAATTGCTACTTATGTGGATAGTTTTGGGAGGACAGAGAATAATCTGTATACTTCTGTGTGGTTTACAGCTTTACATGGATTTATATAGCTTTCATAGACCAAGAAAATAGTAAAGGAATTTACATCTGAAAAACAAAAGAATACAGCGTCGGGGGGCTGGCAGGTGGCGTGGTGGTTAAAGGCGCAGGACTCTCACCTGGCCAACCACGGTGCACGTCCTGGACATGGTGGCTTGCTTTCTCATTTTCCCTCTCTCTCTTTCTCTCTCTGGTCAAACTGGAAAATAATAATAAATAAAGTTAAAACAGTTCTTTCTTTAAGAAAAGAATGTAGCGTTGGGTCACTGGAAAAGCGTGCGCATTTAGTACGCCTTCTGTGCGGAAGCGCACCCCGAGCGGCGGCCGGCTCCCCGTGCTGCGCGGCATCTGCGGAGCGGGCTGCGCGGCATCTGCGGAGCGGGCTGCGCGGGGTCGGGCCCGTCTCAGGTCAGGCGTTTTCTCTCTGCAGTGAGGAGGCTGCTCACGTCCGGCATCGTGGTTCAGGTGTTCCCACTGCACGATAACGAGGCCCTGAAGAAACTCGAGGACAGCTGGTACACGCGGCTGGCGCTGAAGTTCCAGCCCATAGGTAGGCGGCCGTGACCACGCTCCCACCACACCCGAGGGGAGGCGCTTGGAGGCGTCTCCTCCAGGGGTTACTCAGTGCCCTGCTAGTCTAGGCTCACCAGCTGCGTGTGGGAAATCAGACTGCTTAGGTGATGTACTCATTTTATCTTCTTTTAATTCTGATTGCCAGAGGATGCACGCACTTGGTAGCGAGAGACAGAGACAGAGAGAGAGAGAGAGAGAGTGGCGTCCGGGGGGCACTGGCAAGACCC